ATAAAGAAATTATTTTGATATGCAAATAAAATTACACAATTTACTAGTGCTACATTTGTTGTACATTAGCATATACGTATCCACTAGGAAAAGTAAAAAAATAGAGTTTTTTTATTCCCAAATCAAAGTGCCTCTTCATTTTTTAACTTTCTCTCGTATAAAATTCTTTTATCAGAACAAGCCACTGTCTTTATTTTATTATCAAGATATCTATCTTACAAGTTTTATTTAATGAGAATTTATCATTGTATTACGCTAATAATTTTCAAATAATTGTTTGGAAACTTTAATCTGTTTAAATTATTTTCTTATTGTCTAAAATTTGTTGTATTCTAATTATCTCTAATTACGAAGTGTCTCACTTCTGTTAATACGCGTCATCTAGAAAAGTTTTTAATTGTAAGTTTTTTGACTAATTGGTTAGTTTTGATTTTTCAACTTTAACAAAAATTTGGTTGATTTAGTTTCCCGCTAATTAATGCTTAGAAAAGAAAAATTTATGTCAAAATAATTGGAAACATCGGGAAATATGTAACAAGGTGATACGTTTTCCAATTAATACTTTATATTAATTCTATTTTTATAAGAACTAATTTGTGATTTTAGTTGCAAATATATACATATAATGCTGAAAATTTGAAAGTTGCAACATATAATGTGTCGTTTTGCTAAGAAAAAAATTGATTTTAATTGTGAAATAAATCTGCTATTGTAAAATAATGCAGTAGAAGTGACTCATATTGTAGAAATGTATCAGAAATTATAAATTTAGTTTGTTTTCTTTGACTTATCAGAAGTACAATTAATGTCTTAGAAGACAAATATGCGTAATGCGCGGGTTATATAAGTATGCGAAAAGTGTACAAGCTATAAATCTGAAGTAAACGGGAACGTTTGTGTATACTAAATGTGTGACGCTTAATTTCTCGCGCGTTAACTATACTTTGTTGCGATAACGAGAACTAGAATTATTACTAACACGAGGTTTCTTAGAAAGTTAGGAGGGTGTTCGGCCATTAACTGCCAATCATTGCTTCATAAAAAATTCACGATGCGTGTAAACCTATTATACGAATTTAAAGGTGTTGCCTGAAGGAGCATTCGGTCTTATTTTTCGTTGTTAAATGGTTATCCAATATTTTGGCAAAAAAAAAAAAGTGAACAGTACACGCCTCTAAACTGCTGTAATTATGAGCGAGATACTTTTTCGCGTACATCGTCGCCGTTTCTCAATATCAAGCGAGCCGCCTGTAGTTACCAAAGAGAGGCAGCCATAGGCTGTAGAGACGTGTATCCAAGTAAGCTTGATATTTTCGGTTCGTAAAACTTTATGGATGGTAATATCCCGCAGCGTAGCGCTCAGCAGATACTAAAACTTTTCTCCGGGCTGCTCTATATAAATGCACAAGAAGTTTCATTAGCATAACTTTTCGAACTCCTTCGTTTTCTAGCCGTAGATTTTTCAGTTTTTCTGTCCGCTGTTGAATCTTGCAAAACAAAAATTTAATGTTTT